CCCACCCAGTGCAGAGGCACTGCCCATGTGACCACTACCTGCAGAGCAACCGTGACCAGCCCCTGAAAATGCAGAGCAGCCCTATCTGCACAACTTCCAGCATACCGGGTGGGATCAGAAAACAGCTCCTGCTCTGCCCCCAGTGGTAGCAGGTTGAATCTGTGACCAGATACTACCACAAATGCACCAGCAAAGGATCAATTTTTCAAACACTATGAAGAACTACAGTAACACTTAAGAGCAGAAGAAAAATGACAAATCTCCAGAAACCAATCCTGAAGTCACAGAAGTTTACAGTGTAAATGACAGAGAATCCAAACTAGTTGTCATAAAGAAACTCAATGAATTATAAGAATTCTCAAAAAGAGAGTTCAGTGAGCTCAAGAATAAAATTAATAAGCAGAAAGAATACTTAACCAAAGAGATTGAAGCTTTAAAAAGCATCCAAACAGATATTCTGGATATGAAGAATACAATTAATGAGATAAAAATTAACCTAGAAACCATAAAAAATAGAGCTGATATTATGGAGAACAGAATTAGTGAATTAGAGGACAGAAATATAGAAATGCTTCAGGTAGAGGAGGAGAGACAATTAAAATTTTTAAAAAGTGAAGAAATTCTTTGAGAAATATATGACTCAATTGGCAAAAGAAATGTAAGGATTATAGGTATTCCAGAGGGAGAGGAGAGGGAGAAAGGAGCAGAGAGCTTCTTCAAAGAAATAATACCTGAGAACTTCCCAAAACTTGGAATGGAACTGGACTTACAAGTGCACAAAGGTAATAGAACTCCTAATTATATCAATGCCAAAAGACCTTCTCCAAGGCATATAATATTAAAACTGGCAAAAGTCAATGACAAAGAAAAAATATTAATGGCAGCAAGGCAGAAGAAAATAACCTACAGAGGAACCCGTATCAGGCTGTCACTGGAGTTCTCAGCAGAAATCTTCCTTACAGGCTAGGAGAGAATGGAATAATATATTCTAAATCCTGAAAGGCAAACTTTCAGCCAAGAATATTCTCTCCACTGAAAATATCCTGCAGATATGAGGGGGAAATAAAAGCTTTCTGAGTTAAACAAAAGCTGAGGGAGTTTATCACCACTAGAGCTCCTTTACAGGAAATGATGAAGGAAGCCCTCCTATCTGTAACAAAAAGAAAAAGGTTTACAAAGCTTTGAGCAAGGAGATAAATAGACAAAGTCAGAAAATTGCAGCTATCAGAACCGGTTAGCAAAAACTTAATTACAACATAAAAGATGAAGGGAAGTAAAGCATCAAAAGTAACTATAAACACTTCAATTTTGTTGCAAATTCACAACACAAAAAAGAATTTGTATCAGTGATGACTCACATGGGGAAGAGAAAAGGGATGGCATCTTCTTAGGCTAATGGAAATAAGGGGCTATGAAAAAATGGAGTATGTCATCTATGAGATCTTTTATACAAACCTCATGGTAACCACTAAACAAGAAGTCAGCACAGCTACAAGTCATAAATAAAGAGAAAATTGAGAAAACCATCACAGAAAACCACCAAACTGCAGTAGCAGTCAGAAATACAAGTGAAAAGAAACATTGGAAATGTAGGAGAAATGGAAAACAAGAGATAAAATGGCAGTATTAAGCCCTCATATATCAATAAGCACTTTAAATGTCTATAGATTGAATTCCCCAATCAAAAGACACAGAATGGCTGGATGGATTAAAAAACAAGACCTAACAATATGCTGCCTCCAAGAAACATATCTCAGCTCTAAAGACAAACATAGGCTCAGACGGAAAGGAGGAAACATGATACTCCAAGCAAATGAAAGCAGGTGTTGCCATATTTACATCAGACAAAGCAGACTTCAAGATACAAAAGACAATGAGAGGCAAAGAGGGGTAGTATATATTGATAAAAGGGATATTCCACCAAGAGAACATAGCACTTAGGAATATATATGCATCTAACACAGGAGCACCAATGTATTTAAAGGAACTATTAACAGACCTAAAGGGAGAAAGTGACAGCAACACAATAACACTAGGGCACCTCAACACCCCACTTACATCAATGGATAGATCATCAGACAAAAAGTCAACAAGGAAACAGTGGCCTTAAATAAAACACTAGACTGGATGGACTTAATAGAAATCTCAGAAATAAAACCACACATCTATTGACATCCCCAATCTTCAACAAAGGAGCCAAGAACATACAAGGGAGAAAGGAAAGTCTCTTCAATAAATGCTGTTGGGAAAACTGGAGAGCCACATGGAAAAGAATGATACTAGACCATTATCTTACACCATACAAAAAAATTAAATGAATTAAAGACCTGAAGGCAAGACCTGAAACCATAAAACTCCTGGAAGAAAATATAGACTTTACTCTGACCTTGGCCTTAGCAGCATCTTTTTGAATATCATGTCTACTCAGGCAAGGGAAACAAAAGAAAAAAATAAATAGGACTACATTAGACCAAAAAGCTTCTTCATGTCAAGGGAATCCATGAACAAAACAAAAAGACAACCCACCAACTGGGAGAAAATATTTGCAAATCACCCATTTCGCAAGGGATTCGTTTTTTTTTTTTTGTGAGGAAGAACAGCCCTGAGCTAACATCCATGCTAATCCTCCTCTTTTTGCTGAGGAAGACCGGCTCTGAGCTAACATCTATTGCCAATCCTCCTTTTTTCCCCCCAAAACCCCAGTAGATAGTTGTATGTCATAGCTGCACATCCTTCCAGCTGCTGTATGTGGGACACGGCCTCAGCATGGCTGGAGAAGTGGTGCGTTGGTGTGCGCCCGGGATCCAAACCCGGGCCGCCAGCAGCAGAGCATACGCACTCAACTGCCAAGCCAGGGGGCCGGCCCTCACAAGGGATTAATTTCCAAAATATATAAAGAATGTATAGAACTCAACAACAAAAACCAAACAACCTGATCAAAAAATGGGCAGAGGATCTGAACAGACATTTTTCCAAAAAAGATATACAGATGGCCAACAGTCACATGAAAAGATGTTGAACATCACTGATGATTAGGGAAATGCAAATCAAAACTACAATGAGATACCACGTTACACCTGTCAGAATGGCTATAATTAACAAGACAGAAAATAACAAATGTTGGATAGGACGTGGAGAAAAGGGAACCCTCATACACTGCTGGAGGGAATGCAAACTGGTGCAGCTACTATGGAAAACAGTACGGAGATTTCTCAAAAAATGAAAATAGAAATACCATATGATCTGGCTATCCCACTACTGGTATTTATCCAAAAACATGACATCAACATTAAAAAGAGATTTATGAACCATTTTGTTCATTGCAGCATTATTGTCAATAGCCAAGTTGTGGAAGCAACCCAAGTGCCCATCAACTGGTCAATGGATAAATAGATGTGGTATGTATATACAATGGAACACTACTCAGCCATAAAAAAAGATGAAATTGTCCCATTTGCAACAACATGGATGGACGTTGAGGGTATTATGTTAAGCAAAATAAGGCAGACAGAGAAAGACAATTATCATATGATTTCACTCATATGTGGAAGATAAACACATGAATAAAGAGAACAGATTAGTGGTTATCAGAGGGGAAAAGGGTGGGGCATTGGGCAAAAGGGGTTAAGGGGCACATATGTATGCTGGTGAAGAAAAACTAGTCTCTTGGTGGTGAGCATGATGTAGTCTATACAGAAATTGGTATGTAATAACGCACACCTGAAATTACACAATGGTATACACCAATATGATCTGAATAAAATAATTTAAAAGTAAGAGAAAAAATACTGTGTTTTCTCTTTCTCATTTTTGGAGATAGTCATTCACCCTGTGACCTCCTGGCTCTCATGGATCTGAGAAGAGTTGTTCAAGTTTGTTCATTTTCTTCCTGTGAGAGCAAAGATGACAGCTTCTAAGCTCTGTAAGTGTCGCCAGGTTAGAAGTTGGCAGGGCATCATCTAGAGTGACTGGTGAGGAAACACTTCCTCTTGAAATTGGAGCATGGAGATTTTATGTTCTTTTTGGGAGGAAACCTCTATTGAATCCTTTACATTTTCTATAATCATGGCCAAATTGACCATCAAACCTTTGTGGACTTCAGTGAACTCCTTTGCTATCTGCAGCTCTTAACCTGTCCCCAAGGGCAACAAGGCCCTAGGTACGCTGTGTTAGGAGTTGACTGGAAAGAGCTCTTATGGTATATTTTTGTCTTACCTGAAATTGGTTGTAAATAACTTTAAGCACATGAGTATAGGGATTTTACAGCCTAAGTTGTTATGTCTTCCTCCTTTTGTCTGAACTCTAAGTTCCAAATAACTTTCTAACCTCATCTAATCATACAGGGATAGAAAGGAAGAACTGAGTTTTTGATAAATATTGTACAAGTTAAAAGCAATGCTTCCCCACAAGAATATTTACACTCAGCCAGCTGCATCTGATACCTTGTAATGGCCAGGAATACTTTAGGACAATATGGCTAGCTGGGCTTTGTTCAAAATTTGATTTCTAGAGACCTCTTGGATTCTCTGTTTGTTGATGGGACTAGACAAAAAAAGCTTCCTGTTCTTCACTATGTTTTATTTATTTATTTTTTGTGTGAGGAAGATCAGCCCTGAGCTAACATCCGATGCCAATCCTCCTCTTTGTTGCTGAGGAAGATTGGCCTGGTCTAACATCCATGCCCATCTTCCTCTACTTTATGTGGGATGCCGCCACAGCATGGCTTGACTGGGGTGCATCAGTGCATGCCTGGGATTCGAACCTGCGAACCCCGGGCTGCCGCAGTGAAGCGCCCACACTTAACCACTGCGCCACTGACTGGCCCCCTTCGCTATGTTTTTGTTCTCATTGAAACCTCTTGCAGATTTGACCCTTTGCCTAATGGAGTGCTGTAACTGGTGGGTAAAAAGGAAGATGAAAGAATTTTTCTCACAAGGAACCATCGGTTTTAAAATATTTGTTTCATATGTATGGCATTTCTGTGATTTCCCAACATGCTCTAGACCCTGCCGTTGCAGAGAAATATGATGTATTGTGATTTCAGTAAAAACGTGTAAATAATTTCTATGTGTTCATGATGCTGTTAAATTGATGAGGAAGTGTGTACAGAAAAACTGAGTTTCTGATGATTGCAACATAGAATAAATGTCTGGAGATGACAGAATCATACATAACCTTCCTACAAACGGAGTATGGATGTCCAGTGCTTTTAGTCTTATGCATCGTACTCTATGCATATTTGTGATGTTTTAGGACTCAGTGGCCATGGAGGATGTGGCTGTGAACTTCACCTCGGAGGAGTGGGCTTTACTGAATCCTTCACAGAGGAAACTCTACAGAGATGTGATGTCAGAAATCTTCAGGAACCTGGCCTCAATAGGTAAGAATGAGAACAATCCTTCCCTTCATCAAGTAGAGAACAAGTGTTTCTTGCCCATCAACATTCTTCTAAGGTGTAGAATATGGAAAGGGGGGGTGTTGGTATATAAATTATAAATGGTCATAGTTCAACATGGGCTTAGAATCTAAAAATTTTCTATAATTTCTAATACTTTGGAATCAACTTTCTGGGTCTGCATTTCAGAAAAAACATGGGAAGATCATGATATTGAAGATCAGTACAAAAACCAGGGGCGAAAACTAAGGTGAGTCACACTCACAATAGAAAACAGTGTCTCAAGTGAGAATCATGGTATATTATGAAATTTTCAAAAGAAGCAAACAAAACAGATAACCCTTGCTTCAAATTTAGCTAGTTTTAGAAAATTTCCATCAAATGTACTTTCTGTAATTTGATGTAGAGATTCAGTTTTTGCAAAAGAGTTCACTTGGACATAGTATTAATAAACACTATATAGGAATATCACGGGATAGTAACAAAGGTGAAGTCCTCTTGCAGAACATTCAGTATATTCAATTTCAGAGAATTCAGGAAAGACAGAAAACCTAAACTATTTATATAAATCAGAATAAATATAACAAATATAAAATCATTAATAAAGAAATCAATAATGTGCTTCTCATTTTTTACAGAAGTGATGTGGTAGAGAGACTCCGTGAAAGTGAAGAGGGTAGTCAGTGTGGAGAAAAAATCAGTGTTATTCCAAATCTCAATCTGAACAGGAAAACTACAGGAGAAAAAACATGTGAATGCAGTGCATGTGGAAAAGTCTTCACGCATTATTCATCCCTTAATAGACACATTAGATGCCATAGTGAACACAAATCATATGACTATCAAAAACATGGAGAGAAGCCATATAACTGTAAGGAATGTGGGAAAGCCTTCTGTTTCCCCAGTTTTCTTCAAAGACACGAAAGGATTCACACTGGAGAGAAACCGTTTGAATGTACAATATGTGGTAAAGCCTTCAGGTTTTCTGGTTATGTTCAAGTACATGAAAGAACTCATACTGGAGAGAAATCCTATGAATGTAAAAAATGCAGTAAAGCCTTTAGTTTTCCCCGTTCTCTTCAAATACATGAAAAAACTCACACTGAAGGGAAGCCTTTTGAATGTAAAATATGTGGTAAAGGCTTCAGTTTTTCCAGTAATGCTCAAGTACATGAAAGAACTCATACTGGAGAGAAACCCTATGAATGTAAAAAATGCAATAAAGCATTCACTTCTTCCAGTTCTCTTCGAATACATGAAAGAGTTCATACTGGAGAGAAACCCTATGAATGTAAGGAATGTGGGAAAACTTTTATAAATCCCTCAGGCCTTCGATCACACATGTTCTTTCACACTGGAGATGGACCTTATAAGTGTAAGGAATGTGAGAAAGCATTCATTTCTCCCAGTGCATTTCGAATACATGAAAGGAGTCACACTAGAGAGAAACCATATGAATGTAAAGAATGCAGTAAAGCCTTCAGTTATATCAGTTCTCTTCAGATACATGAAAGAACTCATACTGGAGAGAAACCCTATGAATGTAAAATATGTGGCAAAGCCTTCAGGTTTTCCAGTAATGTTAAAAAACATGAAAGAACTCATACTGGAGAGAAATCCTATGAATATAAAACATGCGGTAAAGCATTCAGTTCTTCCAGTTCTCTTCAGGCACATGAAAGAAGTCATACAGGATGGAAACCCTATGAATGTAAAAAATGCAGTAAAGCATTCACTTCTTCTTATTATCTTCAAATACACGAAAGAACTCATACTGGAGAGAAACCGTATAAATGTAAAATATGTGGTAAAGCTTTCAGGTTTTCCAGTAATGTTCAAGTGCATGAAAGAACTCATACTGGAGAGAAACCCTATGAATGTGAAAAATGCAGTAAAGCCTTCAGTTTTCCCAGTTCTCTTCAAATCCATGAAAGAACTCACATTGAAGGGAAGCCTTTTGAATGTAAAGTATGTGGTAAAGGCTTCAGTTTTTCCAGTAATGTTCAAGTACATGAAAGAACTCATACTGGAGAGAAACCCTATGAATGTAAAAAATGCAATAAAGCATTCACTTCTTCTAGTTCTCTTCAAATACATGAAAGAATTCATACTGGAGAGAAACCCTATGAATGTAAGGAATGTGGGAAAACTTTTATAAATCCCTCTGGCCTTCGATCGCATATGTTCTTTCACACTGGAGATGGACCTTATAAGTGTAAAGAATGTGAGAAGGCATTCCTTTCTCCTAGTGCATTTCGAATACATGAAAGGAGTCACACTGGAGAGAAACCCTATAAATGTAAAGAATGCAATAAAGCATTCAGTTGTACAAGTTCTCTTAAAACACATGAAAGAACTCATACTGGAGAGAAACCCTATGAATGTAAAATATGTGGTAAAGCCTTCAGGTTTTCCAGTAATGTTAAAAACCATGAAAGAACTCATACTGGAGAGAAATCCTATGTATATAAAAAATGCAGTAATGCATTCAAGTCTTCCAGTTCTCTTCAAACACATGAAAGAAGTCATGCAGGATGGAAACCCAAATAATGTCAAAAATGCAGTAAAGCATTCACTTTTCCCGATTATTGTCAAATACATGAAAGAACTCATACTGGAGAGGAATCCCATGAATGTAAAAAAATGAAGTAAAGCATTCACTACTCTCAGATCAGTTTGAACACGAGAGAATTCACACTGGAGCAAAACCATATGAATGTCAAGAAAATGGGAAAGCCCGTATTTCTCATGAAAACTTTTGAGGATATGGGAGAAGGCACACTAGAGGAAAAATATAAATGTGGGAAAGCCTTTTGTCATCTCAGTTCTTTTTGAAGGCATGAAAGGACTCGCTTGATAAACTCCTCTCAAATGTAAACAGCATGGGAAACACTTCAGTTGACCTATATCCTTCTACGTGAAACTCCCACCACAAAGAAATATAAATATATATAATATGGGAAAGCTTGATGGGAATTAATTGGTGTATGGTGTTCTAGAAAATTTTCAACATGAAAGGCTTGTTATAAAATTTGTAAATATATTGTGTTTACCACGGCTCTTTCTTAAAATGCAGCATTGGATTGTGAATTTCTGTTAATTACCTTTGGAAATGATTATTGAGGTAAGATAATTCTGTAAGTCATCCTTCATCAACATTACATAAAGGTTACTAGGTAGTGGCTCAGTTAATAATATTTTCTCATTAACTTTTTATAATGTTTAATTGTTCTGTGTTGAGATGTCATTGAAAAATGACTGTATTTCTCAGGATTTTCTTACTGGCCTTGTATTGCAGTTCCTGGATATGACTAATGCATTATATATACTGTTCCTTTCTTTTAGAAAGCTCCCTTTTTGGGCTGGTGGGTATAAGAGTCTGTTTCTATTTGCTATACTGTTAAAAATTTGGAATAAATTTTTGTATGTGGCAAGTTTATCAAACAGTATACTTTCCTATAAATTCTTATATTTATATTTGGGCCTTTCCTCTTTGTCCTTCCTTCTGACTGGTATTTGGTGAATAGACTTTGAATTAAGTAGATGCCTGTGATAGGATAACAAAATCTAGAGCTGGACACATCACCCTGTGTTGTGTTATGTCAATAAGGGTAATATTAAGAACTAGATCTTTAAGAATCCATCCCCTTTATGGTTCCTTGTTGGAATTCACCAATAGCCTCACTTGCATGAGATTTGGAAGGGAGAAGCAAACAAGGCATTAGGCAGATTTTGGAGCCACCATCTAGGGAGAGACACAGTTACATAGGAGCTTCAAGGAAACCATCTTCCATCCCATTTTCTGGATTCTTTGCCCTTCTAGTCAAGAGTATCTTGAAAACCACCACCAGCTGTTTGGATTCCATTTTTTTATAGGTGTATTCTCCACTGATGTTTTCAGAAGTTTCACATCAAAGATCCATTACAGTCAGGATTTTTTCTGTAAGTCCTCTTGTGTCCACCAGGAAACTAATTCAGTTTTGTGGTTGGGAGTATTCTCTGATTCTTCCTTAGGTGATACATGTAGAAGGTCTAATTTGTATAGAAAACACCTTGTGCTCTTAATAGTGCTAGTGAGCATGTTTTCACGATTTACCATGTCATGTACAATGGGGCATAAAAAGAAGGACCTGGGAGTTTCTCTGCTGCATTGTGCAACAGCTGCCTTGACTCAATTCTTCCACGTGAGAACAATCATCTTGCTCGTGTCAGGAAGACTGTGTGTGTTTCCTGTTATCTGTAGCTGAAAATATTCCCTCAGTATGTTTTCAATAATGTTTGATTGTATGTCACTGAAATTATGTGCATTTCCTTGTAAAATGAAAAATTCTGTAGTTGTTTCATTGATATTTTTATCAACTGTTCTAATCCATAGTATGCTGATGTGATTTTCATTTCCTCAGGATATATTAAAATCCATTTTAATTGTGGGTTTTCAGATATACTTTGCAGTTTTCTTTATTTAATCATTATACATTATGAGTCAATTTTATCACGTGGATACAAATTCAGGTAGATTTTCCTCAAACTGCATTTTTTATTCTTTTACAGTTACAGTTTTTGTCATGAAACTAATTTCTCATTCATTCTTCACCCAAAACTTAAAACTCATGGTTTTTACAGTGCCCACTTGCCAGTGACCTCAGGAGTGCACCTGTAGCAAAGAGAGGGGTGTAATGAATTCTAGTAAAAATGACCACAGACCATAAAGGACTGAGATATAACCATAACAGGGTGCTCAGAAGGATTTCTTACAAGGTTTTAGCATGTGTTTGTTGATTTGATTGCTAGTCAAGGAGAAAAGTCATTTTCTGTATTGAATGCTGTGAGGAGGTATACTTCACTCTTTGGTAAACATTTATCTTTGGGAAATATAATCATTGTTTTCTAGAAGGCAAAAACAATTTAGTGGAGCTGAAGTTAACTCGTAAGAATTTCCCATTAGTCATTTTATGTATTTTAGTAAGGAGCCACCATTAGTCATTTTTATGAGTGGAATTTTATTTTTATTTTTATTTTTTTTAAAGATTTTATTTATTTATTCCCCCCCCCCACCAAAGCCCCAGTAGATAGTTGTATGTCATAGCTGCACATCCTTCTAGTTGCTGTATGTGGGACACGGCCTCAGTGTGGCCGGAGAAGCGGTGCATCGGTGCGTGCCCAGGATCTGAACCCGGGCCACCAGCAGTGGAGCGCACGCACTTAACCACTAAGCCACGGGGCCAGCCCTATGAGTGGAATTTTATCTTTTACCATTTTACTGACATGGTTACAAAATATTTTTAGTTTTGTCTTGGTGACTGTGTACTTTCGATGAGGGAGGTTTGTGACATTTTTCTCTTCAGCAGGATGAGACTTGGCCTTGCAGTGACTGCAGGCAGCTCCCAGTCCTATGGGACAGCTTTTGCCTTTCCTGCTTATTATCAAAACATTGATTTATTTCCTATGGTGTATTAGACACTGTTTACTATAAAATACCTCAGTTAAAATATGTAAATTCAGTTCTAAATATAGTATGCAATATTTTTAATATCTCCTTTATGACTCAACTAAGGCCTTTGAGTTTAGGTAAATTGTGAGACAATACAAACCTAGCAAGGGAGTGAGATGGGGACCACTGTGCCAGTCAAGACTTTTTTCCTCAGAGACTATGCTCCTGATGGTAATGTTTCAAGATCCGTCACACATCATGCACTATAGAGGCAATATACCCAGTGTAGCACATACAAGGCCCAGTAGGATTTGGATATAGAGGCATGAAACAGACTGCAGTCCTGGTGCTTATATGGTTGTGGGAAAAGAGATGATTAATAAATGGTAAAGCTTTGTCTGATAAGATGGAAATAAGAGCTTTGAATAAAAGTAAACAATATGAGCTAATAGGAAGACTGTGATGTGTATACATCTGTTCTGTGAGGGTAGGAGTGAGGATGTCATTATTATTGTTATCTGGGACTTGACACTTCCTATTGATTTAAGCCACAAGAATTTGTGGTATATTTTTGTTTTTAATGTCATTTGAGAGGATTTTTATTTTACCTTTATTTAAAATGTGATAGTCTGGCATTTTCTGTTGCTGCTGTACAGACTGAGTGTGAACCATATACCCCATGAAACCATGGAGTTCCTCCCATTTAAAGAAACAGTCACATTCATCTGCACTGCTCTAGCTCATCCCGAGGGTATTCTATGAGTAGAGTGATCTCTATGAAACCAAGGAATAATGAGGTGAGCTGCAGAGAGAGGGTATCATTTTGAGTAATATCCTAATTGAGTATAAAAGGAGAAATTGGAAAGTGTCTTTTTATCCCAAGAGTGTCTTTTATCCCAGCTCAAGAGTAGCTGGAATTGCTTAACTTCAGTGATCCACAAAGCCCTGCTGTCAACTTTGCTGTTCACAGGTTTCACTTCCATATGGCTAGACATTCAGCACATGTTGTGGAAATGTGAGAAACAGCAGTAACAGCTACAAGGTTTAATAAAGAGCAAAAGAAAGCGTTAATCTTTTCCATTTTTTCAGTGTTAACTTACATATTGGAGGGGTTTCATTCAAATGGGTACCATGGAAGTGTTCTTGGTGATGGCATGTTTTCCATCTTTTGATGGCAGTATTAGTATACATTTGTGAAAATTCTCAAGTTTATATAAAATATATATTTATATAATTAATAGAAAATGAATAACTGAATCAGTTTCATATGCTCGGAGAATGTTAAAATCTCCTGAACCTTGATTTTTATGCATTCAACACTTCTTTCTAGCACTGTGAGATCCTTCTTAGGAAGAATGAAATGACTCAGCAAGAAGGATTCAGTCCTCAACAGCTCTTGGTTGCAACCCTGTCTTAATCAAGAAAACAGCCTGTAGGATTGCATCTGCCCTCACCTCACACTCATCACAAGGAGTGAAGTGAAAAGGCTCCCAGAATCTGTCTTTGAGTTGAAATGAGGTGCATGGGCAGGTCTTTAGAAATACTGTGGTTCTGAAACATAAAAATGTTTCCCAGGTGGGGTCTGTCTGGGGACACCCTCTTTTATGTGCATCAGCATCATTTCTTACCATTATTATCCACAGACCATTACCAGCTGTTCATTTCCCAACTCAAACCTACTCTGTGCCTGCTTACTTGGAAATATCTTTAGAATTCCACACATGTTCCCTTCTGGAAAATCTCTCTGAAGTGACACAAGGGGGCAGTGAGCTCAGGGTGACAGAAGCAGCGGTAGAAATCATGTCATGAGCACATTCTCTCAGCCACAGCAACCACAAACATCATATAATTATCAGATCTGCTTATTTACTTATTCATACAACACTTAGAAGTAGACAGACTTTGGGCAACAAATGGCTCTAGACTTTTTTGAAATTGCAGCCCTTCCATTAGTGTCTCCCTTCACACACCCCTTTACCATAGAGACTTTAGCAGCCTCCCATTATGCATACAAGAGTCTCTAAACCTCTCAGTGGACATGTTGCCCAAGTCATTCTTGTACCAGAAACTATTCTCCTCATCCAGTGCAGCACAAAGTTAGAGAAGCCACTGCTGGCAA